AGCAAAGATGAGTCCAGGGGCAGGGAGTAAGTAGTATCGGGCAGTGTTGGCTCGGAAGGACACTCACGGGCTTCATTCCTCCCTGGGCCTGTCTGCTCACAGCTCAAGCCAATCCTGGCTGACATTGAGTACCTGCAGGACCAGCACCTCCTGCTCACAGTCAAGTCCATGGATGGCTACGAATCCTATGGTGAGGGGCAAGGGATGTTGAGGGGTACAGGAAACCAGGCAGGGGGGGGCCTTGGAAAGGAGGGCAATTCCTTGGTGTGTGCCATTCCCCCCTCAGGAGAGTGTGTGGTTGCACTCAAGTCCATGATTGGCAGCACAGCTCAGCAGTTCCTGACCTTCCTGTCCCACCGTGGCGAGGAGACAGGCAACATCCGTGGCTCCATGAAGGTGCGGGTGCCCACTGAGCGTGTGGGCACCCGTGAGCGGCTTTATGGTGGGCTCCATGGGGGAGCTGGAATGTGAGGGGGTGGTGTGGTGGGGTGGAGGAGGGGAGGATGCAGGGCTGGTAGCATGTTTGGATCCCAGGATCCTTGGTGGTTTTATAGCTATGGCGGTGAGTAAGCCTGCCCTGAGGAATAGCTGGAAAGGGGCTGGCAGGCTCAGTGAGTCTCTGGGATCTAAGATCCCAGGTTGCCTCTGAGCTTTCCTTTCCTTTCCCCCTTCCCCCCAGAGTGGATCAGCATTGATAAGGATGAGGCAGGAGCAAAGAGCAAAGTCCCCTCTGTGTCCCGAGGCAGCCATGACCCTAGGTGAGCTAGGGCTATACGGGGTGTCCTATAGAAAGGTGGGTGGGGGCTTCTGACCAGCCCCACTTCATCTCTCCTGTGTGTCCCTGGCAGGTCAGGCAGCCGCAAGCCGGCCTCTGCAGAGGCCTCCTGCCCGCTCTCCAAGTTATTTGAAGAGCCAGAGAAGCCACCACCAACTGGGAGGCCCCCAGCCCCACCCAGAGCAGCTCCCCGGGAGGAGCCCTTGACCCCCAGGTGAGAGGCAGGACCTGTGTCCCCCACTTTACCCATCACATGCCTGAATTGCCAGGCTGTCCTGGGGATTGTCTGTTCTGTTCCATGCTCTGGCACTCTGTGGCTGCAGGCACTGTGGTTGTGTGCCTGAGGCTACTGTGGCCAGCCAGGCCTCCCCTAGGTGTGGCTCTCTGAGTCAGAGGGAGCATGGCTAGACTTTCCTCTCAATTCTGCCTTGAAGAGTAGATGTAGAAGTTGTTTTTAGAATAGCAGCTCTTTCCATGTAGCTAACCCAGTGTGAGCTTTCTGTTACTGCTTAGCATACAATTTCCTGGGTTGTGTCTCACGGGGTGCTGACCTACAACAGCCTCCACTGGAAATGGGTTGGTGGTCAAATGAATTTGGGAAACGTTCCTTGCTGGATTCTTTTCTTAGATATTCCCGGTGCATATTAGTATTAGGGAAAGCTCCAAGCATGTAGACAGGAAGGAAGCCTCTTCAACTCTGTTTAATATAGTTTCCCAAACCTAATGAGCCAGGAAACTTCTTTCCCACACAGTAACTATTCATGTCCTGGGCTACCAGTGTGCTGTGTGTCATACCTTGGGAAAGCCAGGCCTGCTTTCTGATGCGATCTGGTTTTTGCTTAAGTGTAAATAAAAGCCTATAGGTACAGATTGTTTTTTTTTTTTTTTTCATTCATCTTCAGCTATTATCAGTCACCTTGTGTCTTGGTTACTTTTCTCTTGTGGCCGAGACAAAATACCTGACACTCAAAATTAAGGGAGGAAAGATTTATTTAGCTCCCAGTTTCTAGAGGTTTCGGTTCATAATCAGCTGGCTACAGCGGGACAACTAATCATGGTGGGGAAAGACAGCAAAAGCAGTGCGTGAGAGAAGCCTCTTTCTGTCCCTTTCATTCTATCCAGTCCTCTGGGATTAGGGCTGTGCAGTCCAACCAGTGGACTGATCCAGCAGTCACCCACCTTTATTCCCAGCATTGAACTATGAGTCAGTCACATATTCTACATTCAGCTACCTATTGCTTCTTGGCCTTTTGGCTAAGATCAAGTATAGATTCAGCTACCTTCAAAAAAGTCCTATTTAAAAGTAAGGGGACATCTTGACACAAACCTAAAACCTTGTTTCATCTTTGGGCTTGAATAAAACTATCTGAAATCACTTAAGATTCTGCAGTAGACTGTTTTAGAAAGCATTCCAGAGCTCACTTGTCACTCTCCCAGGGGCCTTTATTGCGCTCTCTAGCCCCTCTGTCTTTACCCATTTATACTTGGGTTTATGCAAAGTCATGGAAAATCTGAGAATCCAATCAAGTGAGGAAAGGAAGTTAATGTTATGCCTTCAGTTCCCCCTGCTTTATTTTATTTTACATTTTGTTTGCCTGCTTTTTGAGACAGGGTATTGGTTTGTAGTTGAGGCTGATCTTGAGCTCCCATGTAGCCCAGGCTGCCTCAGACTTGAGCTTCTCCTGCCTCTGCCTCCTGGGTGCTGAGATTGTAGGCATGCACCACCTTGCTCACAGTCCCCTTAGAGATAATGAAACAGGATGTGAGAGACCAGTGCTGTGTAAGGCCATGTGCACACCCAGGCCAGGAACTCTGTCTTCTTGATCCCGTACCCAGTTCCTTTGCATCTTGTATTCACCTTGAGTGTCAGGGTCCTAACCTAGTCCTGCTCCTCCCAAATCTAGGTTGAAGCCAGAAGGGGCTTCTGAGCCAGAAGTGGGGGCACCTGCCCCACCCAAGAACAGTTTCAATAATCCTGCCTACTACGTCCTTGAAGGGGTCCCACACCAGCTGCTGCCTCTGGAGCCACCCTCGCCTGCCAGGGCATCAGTCCCACTGGCCACGAAGAACAAAGTGTCTATCACCGTACCTGCTCCACAGCCTGGATGCCACCGGCCCCCTCGAGTGGGAGAGGGAAGCTCATCGGATGAGGACTCTGGGGGAACATTGCCCCCTCCAGATTTTCCTCCCCCACCACTGCCAGACTCAGCCATCTTCCTGCCCCCCAGCCTGGATCCCTTGTCAGCCCCTGTAGCCAGGGGCCGCAGTGGGGGTGAGGCACGTGGCCCACCACCTCCTAAGGCGCATCCGAGGCCTCCACTACCTCCAGGTCCTTCACCTGCCAGCACTTTCCTGGGGGAAAGAGTGAGTGGGGATGACCGGTCTTGCTCAGTGCTGCAGATGGCCAAGACACTAAGCGAGGTGGAGTATGCTCCCGCTGGGCCTGGACCTGGACCTGGGTGCTCAGTGCTCCTCCCAGGCCCCCTGGAGTTGCAGCCACCCCGAGGGCTACCCTCAGACTATGGCCGGCCCCTCAGCTTTCCTCCTCCCCGGATCCGAGAGAGCATCCAGGAGGACTTGGCAGAGGAGGTGTGTGCATACAGGCTGGCTTCCACACCAATGGGGTCCTTTCAGCCCTATATTTAGCACCTGCCCCTAGTTGAGCAGCAAGGTGTAGCTGGGAGGGCTACAGGCACCAGTCTTGGGCCTTTGTCTCTTTCCCTCACCTGAGTAGACTGCCTCCATGCTGTTCTTAACACTTTACATGCCCTTTTTCCTCAGGCTCCGTTCCCACAGGCTGGGCGGGCTGGTGGCGGCCTGGGTGAGGCAGGCATGGGTGCCTGGCTGCGGGCTATTGGCTTGGAGCGCTATGAAGAGGGCCTGGTGCACAATGGCTGGGATGACCTAGAATTTCTCAGGTGGGGAGCTGGAGGTGGACGGAATGGGTGGCCCCAAAGGTGGAGTTCCGGGCCCCTGGGCACCTATTATAGCCCATCTTCATGCCTCTTCCATAGTGACATCACTGAGGAGGACCTGGAAGAGGCGGGGGTGCAGGATCCGGCTCACAAGCGCCTCCTTCTGGACACGCTGCACCTCAGCAAGTGACAGTGGAAGCTCCCCAAAGCTTTGAACTCAGCGCCCCTCCCCATCTAGGAAGGCCCGGAGCAGTCCTGTTGTTGAAAAGTTGTAAGGAGCAGAGTAGTACCTCTCTATTTATTGGGGAAGTGCGTTCCCCACGGCCCAGCTATTTGGCAGGCCCTGATAGGACATCCTTCCCGCCCTCCCCAGCTTTCAGATCTGGGGCTGAGGATGTCGGTAGCCTGCTGCAATGAGTAAGGAAAAGTACCATCGCTCACTGGCGCAGGCCTTCTCCCGAACTCTCTTCACAGCCCTGAGGGTAGATGTGGGGTAGCTGGGTATGTCTGGGTCCCCTATTTTCACCGCTGTTTCTGCTACACTCACCCGGGCCTGCACCACAGGGAAGAGGTCTTTTGGGACCTTCTGCAAGTCCTGCTCCCGGGATATCCGTCCGGAAATGAAGGAAGAGCCCGAGGATCGGGCTGGGGTTTATTTAAGCTTTTTCGTGTGGGTTTGGGGTGGGAGAGCGCCTGAATGTTGGGGGCGGGGCAGACCTCGCCATAAAGTGCGTTTGCTTATTTCTCGCTGTCTCCTTGTCCTTACGAGCGCGTTCCCGCGTGAAATGGCAGAGACCCAGGCTGATCACGAGGACCACAGGAGACAGGGTTCTCGCTAGCAGCCCGTTCCCGCCCTGGGTACTCAAGGGCTGCTGGCGTTGATGTCTTCAATAAATTAAGTTTTATTTGGGTTGAGCAAAATCACCTCAATAAATTACAAGTTTTCAAAGAAAAGACCAAAAATCAGGAAAACGGAAACCCTTCGTTCGTTTCCGCAGCACCTCTCCGCTTCTACCAAGTCCGCCCGCTGTGCTAGGGCTGGGAGGCCGCGGGAGGGAAGCTGAGCCGTGGGGCCCCTCAGCTGCATGTCATCCCGGCGAAAACCAGCCGTGGCGCGTCGTGGGACAAAGCCGGTGGGCTGGGTCTGGGCAGCGGACACTCACCCTCGGTCACCTAGGTTAGGAGTGAACTAGCCAGCTGCAAAGCCCTAGAGAGCACTGCGCCTTTCCTTAGGGACCCATGTGCTAGGGACAGGCGTTAGTTACTTGATCCCGGCTCCAAAGAAAACCAAGCTGGCTGGGACTCTGCTCTCCGGGTGAAAAGGACCTCGCGCTGCTGGGTACGGGTGAGAGGATGAGAGTGGCCTGACTTGGTTTCCAAAGCTGGGGAGGGCACACCTAGGGGGTCCGAGACTGCGGGGAGGGGGCAAGAAGGGACTCTGAGGCAGGCGGCCAGGATGGGGACGGTTTCTGTCGGGTCCTGGAGGACCAGGGGGTGTCTCTGGGGGCAGGCTCGAGCCTTGGGAGGCCGGCGGCTAGAAGAGGTTGGTCTTCAGCGCAGGGCCAGGCTTCCGGTGAAAGGAGGACAGCACTCCGGAGAAGGGTCCGGGCCCGGGCTCCGCCGGCTGCCAGGCTTTAAGTAGCTCGGCGGCGCCGGCGCCGGGTCCGCCGCCCCCGCCGCCCGCCACGCCGGCCCACAGCGCGCCCTTGAGTGACTGTGGCCCGGGACCAGGGCCGGGGCCGGAGCCCAGAGCAGCGGGCAGCGGGCTGGGGCTCAGGCGCGGGCTGGCCAGGCTGGCTGCGGGCGGCGGCGGCAGCGACGCGGTGCTGTCGGGCGTGGGGCTGCACGTGGACTCCTTGGAGTCGTCGTCCTCGGACGAGCAGCGCGCCTCACCCTTTTTGGCGCCCGCCGCTCCCGCCGCGCCCTTGGCGCTGGCTGCGCGCTCTTGTTTTCGGAACTTGGCGCGGCGGTTCTGGAACCAGACCTGTGGGCACACGGGCCAGTCAGTCCAGCAGTCCCGGCAACGGTCAGAGAGCGAACTAGGCTTGCCCGGAGTACCAGGCGCAGGCGACACTTAGGTCCGAAAAGGGTCGGGCAGGATTATTAGCAGTTGAAGAGGTCGAAAGCCCCAATCTGCATCACTTGGCAGCCCGTTGTCCTCTCCACTTTCCTTTCCTCCGCTTGCCCAGTCCTCTGGGCCCTTAGGCTCTCCTCATCCACAAACCCCGCTGCCTATCATTATTCTGGGTCTCTGGGAGGGAGCTCTACCTTTACTTTCCTTACCCTAACACCTTGAGATGCACCCCAATTCCCTTTTAGGAAGCTGGATGATCCACCTGGAGAGACCCTGGGTGATGAAACAAATGAATTGGGGTGCTGGGGAAAGCTTCCATCCTGGGCTTCCAGTCAAAACCAACCAGCTGAACACGGGATTTGAAATCCCTGGCTCAACTTTCCTGGTCCTGCACCAGCATGCAGTTCAGGCAAACTGGGGTTCAGGGGTTCAACAACTCTAGCATTGGGAAGGGAGGACACCTGTAAGTTCCCTGCACGCCCCAATCCTTCCAAGGCACTCTCTACCCACTTGGCTGCCTATCCAGGCTTTTCAACTCAAATATCGACCCTCCAAGTCTAGGATAAAGGGGAGGTAGCTAAATATGGGGGAGGGGGTCTTCTGAGAGTCCAAGTCTTGGCCTGCAGTCTCCCCAGGTGGATCAACCACACCTGGGCTGTGTCCTGGTCGCTGGCTCCTAGATCCTTGTTTCCAAGTTGCCTTGCTGTCCTTGACCCTGTTACCTCCCACAGTCCCCTCCACACGTGTGTGCGTGTACACACGTGCATACACGCACCTGTACGCGAGCCTCAGTGAGGTCGATTTTGAGTGCCAGCTCCTCCCGCGTGTAAATGTCCGGGTAGTGGGTCTCGGCGAACACGCGCTCCAGCTCCTTGAGCTGTGCACTCGTGAACGTGGTGCGGATGCGCCGCTGCTTACGCTTCTCATGTAGGCCCGATGGTTCCGGGAAGAACTTGTAGGGCACTGCGGGTGTGCGCCAGAGGGCAGGGCAACGAGAGGGGGCGTAAGAAGCCGAGCTCAGCCCGCTGTGTCCGCCCTAAAGGGATGCTCACCACCCCTCCCCCACCCCTGGCCTGATCCCTCGGTTTGGTCCTCACCGCCTCCAGCCAAGCATCAGAGCCTGCAGTAGTGAAAGAGAGAAAGGGAAGACCTGGGGCTCAAGAGAGGCCTGAAACCAGGACATTAGCATTTGATTCTCCAGCATCCAATCCTCCACCTGTCACTGGCTTTTCGCTGGGTTCTCTCTACTCCCCCTACCCCTCTCCACTCCACCTGCCCCTCCTACCGGCTCCTCTTTGGTCCCGTGTCTCTCCCTCAGCCTTCTGACTTTAGGTCCTGCTCTGTCCACACCAGCCCGGGATGGCTGCCAGGTCTCACCACTAGCCAGTCCTGAGCTTGAGACGCTCCTGACAGGTCTCCTTCAGCCCCACCATTGGCTCCCTGCTGGGTACAGATCTGGTCCTCTCCCTCTTGCTCCTGGGGCCTCTTTTCCTCAGTCCTACCTCACATTCCTGGTCTCATTCCCCTCCAAGTGTCCTCTCCTGTTCCTCACCTTCCTCTTTCTTCACCCAAATTTTTCTTTGGCTTTCCCAATCTGGACCGATCTTCTCTTTGTGCCCACTAAGAAGGGTTCTTACCATCTTTCCACCACGTCTTTCTTTGCCCTTCTTCCTGCCCACCTACGCTGTGTCCCATAGCCCCTAACTCCCATCCTAGGCCTCCCTCACTGCCTTTCTGTACTCTACCCTGACCTCACAGACACATAGGCGATGTTTCTGACACTATCTCTTCATCCCTGTCTCTAACCCTGGTTTAGGTTTCCACATGTTTCATGGGGTCCCCTACCTCCATCTTTGTCCCATTTCTCCAGGTCCTATCTCCACTGATCCTTGTCTCCATCCCCATCCCCATTTTCATTATCTGTGTTCCTACTCTTTTTTGGTCCCTGTCTTTCATAATATGGTCCCTCATATCTCCATCCCCGAAGCCTGGGGGGCTTCATTTCTTTCAAGGCGCCTGGTCTTTCCATTTATCCTCTGTCCTCTTTCTGTATGTTTCCCCAACTGCTGCAGTCTCAGAGCCCCATCTCTGATGCCCAACTCCCTATCTCCTGTCTGCATTTCCCCAGTCCTCATCTTCATGTGGCCCAGGGTGACCAATCTCCTCATCCCTGTTCTAGTGTGGGGCTGCACACAGTGAGTCTCATTTCCTCAAATTCAAGCACTTCCTCCCATACCCACCTGTCTTCTACTTGGGACCACCATGGTCTTCCCAGGAGGGGAGGAGCTAAGGAGACTGGGTGGGGCAGTGTGGGACCCTAACTAAAGAGGTGGAGATGTTTGGGTTCTCACTGAACCCAAAAGCTCAGTGAGATTTTGGGTTCCACCCGGGCTTGGTGCACTGGGCTTACTTAGGCTGTAGTAGCTGCCTTCTGAGTCCTGCAGGACTAGCTGGGACTGTCAGGAGGGGTGGGTGAAAGTGACCCCCTTTTCTGTGGCAATGGGAGCTGGTTTTGCTAGTGCTGGGTTTGGGCCCAGGCAGGATGGATCCAAGATAGGATAGGGGGGCTCTGGGGGTGCCAGGGCTCTAGGAAGGTTGCCGTCTGGAAGCACAGCTGCTACAGGTGCCTTTGCTGGGGTTAGCGCGTGGGGCAGGGGTGATGTAGAGGGGTTCTGAATGAACCGCGCTGGGAGCCTCTTCCAAGGATACAGGCGAGGGAGACATTTGGTGGTCAATCTTTGCAGCTGAGGAGGGAGAGCCTGGTGAGGGGCCAGAGCTGGACCCACGATTTATTTCCTTGACCCAAAGGGCACAGAAAGAGGGCCAGGAGGGAGATGAGGGTGGGGCTCATCCTTGCTTCGAGAGGACCCTGGTATTGCTGGGGGTGTCACAGGGCACTGAAGGTTCCAGCCAGGAAAGACAGGATGGCAGTGGGGAGTCTCATTCCCTTGAGGAGTAGGGAAGGGACTAGGGCCTCTGCAGGATTTAGAGGGAAAGCTGGGCCGGGGCTGCGCTCACCTGCCGAGTAGGGCGCGGGCTGGTGGTCGCGTAGGGCGCCAAGCGCGCAGTTGGAGGAGCCGAGCGCGGGGCAAGGCGGCCCAGCCGCGGGGAAGGTAGGCCGCAAGGGGCTGTACTGGAAGCCGCCGGGCTGGCTGCAGGCGCCGAAGTCGCCGTAGGCGGACGCCTCCATGGCCGCCACGCACGAGTCGTACGAATTGAGGTAGGAGTAGTCCATCGGCCCGAGGGACAGGGGCCGGGCGGGGTTCGGGTGGGGGTCCCGGCCGGGTGGAGGTCGGGATGGAGATTCCGGCGCCAAGCGCCGAGGACCCGAAACTGGTTCTGAGCGCCCGGGTCTGCCCGCCCCGTCGCGGCTGCACAGTGCCCGGGTGCAACGCAAGTGCAGCCCGGAGAGCCCGCGCGCCTTTTAACGCGCAGGACCCCGTGGAGGGGGCGGGGCGGGGCGAGCTCGGTGGGGCGGGGCCTGGGCGGCTCAAACCCCGCCCCCAGCCACCCGACCCCAGCCCCAAAGGGTCTCCGCCGTGCACCTCCTGCTCCGGAGGGGCGGGGCGGGGCTGTGCGGGACCCCAGCCCCGGAGTCTCATCCTGCCCTACTCGGGCCCAGACCTCCGGGGTCCACGCCGCGTGCCAAGCGGGAGGAGGGTCCCGACCTCTTTCCAGACCTTGCCACCTGCGGCCCGCGGCTCTGGGGCGAAGAAGTTAATTAAATTCTCCGGGATAACAGAGTTATCCGGCCCTTGCCCCGCCTTCGGCGAGGTCCTGTCCCGGTGGGGACCAAGCTGATCTGGAGGGGGATGGAGATGGGGACAGACAGGGACGGGGGCAGGGAGGGAAGTGGATACTGAGAGAAAGCAGAGACGAGGCAGGGCGAGGAAAGGAGGACGCCGTGATGGAGACGGGAACAGGAATGACCCAGGTACATAGAGGGAGTCGAGGACGACATGTGCGGGAGGAAGGTTGGCTGGACGTAGGGACAAGGCAGGGACAGAGACGCAGATGGGGCCAGAGGGCCGGAGGAGGAATGCGAGGCTGGGAAGGAGATGTGGGGGAGGGACGGGGCTGGACGGTGGCGAGGGCGAGGAGACCATCCCCGGACCGTGGCCGCGAGACAGACACACGCAGCGGCAGCCTCAGCTTGACAAGGCCGGGGACAGACAACGGAGGATCCGAGGCCGAGGGCGGAGGAAGGAGCCCGCGGGGAGCTGCGACCTGCGGCCAGTGGAGCCCAGAGGCAGAGGCCGGGGTCCCTCCAACCTGACTTGTCCAGACGGCCACCCGAGCCTGCATCGTCAGGGCCCGGCCGGCCTGCCTCTCCGTTCCCTCTGCTCCTTTCTCTCCCCATGCCGCCAGGCCGCGACCTCTGGCCCAGACTGTGTGTGAGACCACTTTCTTCTCCTTCAGCCACTACCCTTCTCCTGAGCCCCTTTTCTTCTCCAGGAAGACCAGGTAGGCTCAGTCTGCCTCTGGCTATGGAGGCCCCTCCATGGATGGTCACTACTGTACATGCAGCGACCTAACGGGACACAGAATCTCTCCTAAGAGAAGGAACAGAAACCTCTTCTGCCTCTGCAGCTCCTCTGAAGAATGAAAGGAGGCATTTCCGCAGGGCCCCCAGCCTTCTTTCTAGGCTAGAATATTCTAGGGTCCTGCAGATGGGGAGCTCCAGCAACAGGAACAGGGCAGGTCCTCCCCATCAGCAGGGATCCTCAGGGGGTGAGAAAAGGACTCCTGGAATTTCCTCTCCCCAGTGTCACCAGCACCGTGGGGTACAGGCTTCTGCTCAATTCAGCTATACCCTGGCCTCACTTTTACTTGACACACAGGACTAGCTGTGCTCAATTTCTGTAAGTACTGCATGTCAGGGGCACTGTAAGTACTTTGAAACATTTTCTTAAATTATTTTTTAACTTTTTTGTTATGGTGGTAGTAAAATATATATGCACATAGAATTATCTAGGCATGGGGATATATACCTGTAATCTCAGCATTTTGGGAGGCTGAGGCAGGAGGATCACAAGTTCCAGCCAAGTCTGGACAACTTAGACTATATTTCAAAATAAGAAAAATGAAGATAAAAAAGGGATAGGACAGCAGCTCAATATGAAGTCCCTGAGTTCAATGCAGTAGCACAAAAACCCATAAAATCTCATGTTAAAGGACTTTTAATTGTGTGGTTCAGTGTTGTTAAATATATTCATCATGTTTCACAATCATCACCACTATTCATCTTCGAATCTCTTTTCACCTTGTAAAATCCAAACTTTGTACTCGTTTGGCAACAACAGCTTTCCCTTCCCACCTGGCCCCAGGGCCTGGCAATTGCCAATCTACTTCCCATACCTACACATTTGATGTTTGACTATGCTAAAGATTTTGTGTAGGTGGAATCATGTGTCCCCGCTATCTCAGGGACCATGTCATTTCTATCACTGAGTCATTGAGCCAGTTTTTTGTGACTGGTTTATGTCTCCTTTTAGGAAGCCTTCAACTTTGATCTACATTGTAGCATATGTCAGCATTTCTTTTCTTTTGAAGGCTGAATAATATTCTATGGTATGTCTATTTCCCCTTTCCCTTATCCTTTCTTCCACTGATAGACACTTACGTTGCATCTACGTTTTAGCTACTGTGAATATTGCTTCTATGATTGTGGACACACAAGGATCTCCCAGGGACTCTGCTTTCAGTTCGTTTTGGCATAAACTCAAAGGTAGAACTACAACATTATACCATAATTCTACAGTATTGTTATTATTTCAGGATCTGTTATACTATTTCTTTTTTCTTTCTTTCTTCCTTTTTTTTGAAGGAACCGGGGACTGAACTCAGGCCCTTCCTCGTGCTTGCCAGGGAAACACTTATTCCACTGAGCCATCTCCCCAGCCCTGCAATATACTATTTCCTACAGCAGCTGTGCCATTTTACATTCCCCCACAGTGTACGGGTTTCCAGCTTTCCACATCCCTGACAGCATTTGTTTCTCAACTTATTTTTCAGGGCTAACGTTGTAGGGGTTGAGAGCTGACACCTCAGATGCTTCCACAGTTCTTTCCACTGGTATGTGAGGCGCATCTCTCCGTGGACACATCGGCAGGGAGCCCAAAGGATCTCGGAGCTGTGGGATCAGGTGGGACCACCACTGTCCCAGACCCTGCAGGGGCTCTCTGATGCCCACATGATCGAATCCAAGCAATGTAATCAGCAACAAAGCTTCAGTTAGCTTTCTCCTCATTTTGGTTTGTCTTTTTCTTTTTTCTTTTTTCTTTTTTTTTTTTGAGACAGGGTCTCAAAAGATCATCCAGGCTGGCCTCCAGTTCTCAATCCTCCTGCCTCATCCTCCAAAGTGCTAAGATTACAGGCATGCACCACCAGCCACCCTGCCTGGCGTCAGCTTGGTTTTCTTTGCAGCTTACACGCACTCACTAATCTTTTTGTTCAGAGATGCCCTCTCTGGGTGGAGTGCTCACCCAATTCTCTGTGTACTACCCTCTTCCCCTATACCCAAATATGGCACTATTTAGCCATTGTTTCCACTTGGACATGCTTGTTGGAAGCCTTTCCTAATGTTCCTAGACAAGGTTGGGTGTCCCTGCTGTGTCCCCTTGTACCTCCCTCTTTTTGGGTACTCAGATCACCTTGCTAAGTCCAAGGTCTTCAGACAGAACTGTGTGCTGTTATTGTCCTTTTCTCCTCAGCCTCACCATATGGCATATCCAAGCCTTCTAGTATCGGATTTTCAAACTGAGTTAGTTAGTAGACTAACCTGAAATCTCTGCCCTCGCTTCCAGGGAAGGATTCCTCAACTCTCCATTCTCTGAAGAGGAATAATTCTCCTTTCTTCATCCCTCCACTCCCCAGTGCTAGGAAACTTCCTCCTTATTGGTTGGGAGAGAGTCCTTCTTCATCTGAGGAATTTGCATATGACCTTATCCCTTTCCTGGTGACAATGCTGGCCAGCAGTAGGAGCACTTGAAACTTTCATGGAAGGACAAGCAAGGAGCGAAAGGGAGGAAAAGAGGCCCATTTCTACTTCAGGTCCTGGTGACTGCTGTCTCAACATCTGGCCATGTCATTCTTATAGTTAGGTCCTTGAGCCAGTAAATTCCCTTCGGTCTCAACTGCTTTCAGTTAATCATCCAACACTTGCCATCAAGAGTTTCTGAAGACATGGCATTCTTACAGGAAATCAAATAGTGGTGCTTAGAAGTTTCATTGTAAAATGCATGTGACAGCATGACAGAGTAGGTTGGGCAGGAGCTGGCCTTCCCAGGCCTCAGGACTGTGGACTGTCTCCACATTCTTCTGTGTTTAATCTAGTTCAAGATGGATTTCTGTCAGTTTCCAGCAAAGGAATCCACACAAACAATTGGGATAAAATGTGGAATGATGCAGGCAGCCTGTTGGCACAGGAGATGAGAAGTAGCCCAAGAAAGGGGCTGGGTGCGGGGAGCAAGGTGGCTTCCTGGGACCTCACCAGAAGAATAAAAGGCAGAGCAGGGCAGGTTCTGCAAGGTCCCCACAGGAGAGAGGCTGGTGGAGGGTTTGACTTGGGGAGACCTTTCTCGTGAGACCCTCCCCTAATCGAACGTACTCCCAGGAGACCTAAAAGCACTTGGGCATGACACGCGGTCACAGCTGTCTTGCTCAGAAGCCTGGCTGGGGATGATGTTTTCTCTTCCAGGAGCGATGGTGGGTTCTGGAGCCTGACTACTGAGTACAGCCCTGGCTGTGCCAGTGCAGAGCTGTGAGGCTTTGGGTGAATTACATAACCTCTCTTTGCCTCAGTTTTCCCATCTGCAAATGGACATTTAAATGATTAGAGAAATTAAAGCATATAGTGTCTTCAGCTTGCCAGGGACAACTCACTCGGGCCCCCTCCTGTCCCTTTCTTGGACAGATTTCTTTTCCCCAATAAATATATTCTGCTCATAAAAAATAATGCATATAGTGTCTGAATTAATGCTTGGTATGCCGCAAAACAAACATTAAGTAAATTATTTTTGACTCTTCTCACTCCTACCAAGTGACTGGGCATGGCACAGCTGACAGGCCCAGACCAGATCTGGCCAGACTGTGTTGTGCCTGACACTTGGACGTGTTCTGCAGACACAGACCCTATCTTTGTACCAGAGCAAAAAAACTCAGAAGCTCTCAGGATCCTGCAAACCACCCAGCCAAGCCAGTTGTCTTTGCAGATGAAGAGACTGCAGCCCAGGGAGGGCTCCTGCAGAAAGAATACAGGTAGAAACAGAGGGAGGGGCTTGCAGGAAGGGTGCTCAGCTCCCAGCTCTGACGCCAGCTCACTCTGTAAGCCCAGACAGAGAATGGAGGGGGAAGGACCCATGCTCTGAAGAGCTCTTTCTGTCACAGTCACT